GTGGCAGGTTCTGCAGCAGGTTGGGTCTTCAACGAAACACAAAAATAAACAAGCAACATGTGTTTCATGTGATAAAGTGGGTGTGTTGTGTTTGTTAAAGGGTGGAGCTCCTGTGGGTCTGTCATCCAAACCCATCCAGGTTCTGTACGGACACACGGATGAGGTGGTGAGCGTGGCCATCAGCACCGAGCTGGATATGGCCGTTTCTGGATCCAGAGTAAGTTTTTTGATGCTGCCATCTAGTGGTGTGAATAGATCCCAATTCAATATCTAACCGATTCCAGCATGACAAAGCTAGGTTTAATTATTTTAAGGCTAAAAGTTTAAAAACCAGATTAAGAAGTACGATAATAATTGGCAGTCTGGAAAAAGTCCAAATTTTTAACAATGTTTAGTTTTGCAGTGGAACATGAGCAAAACCTCAGGGTTTCCCCCAGTGTATTATAAGCCTGGCGGGTCACCAGGCTTTACTTGTGCCCCCACCAAGCTAAGCATTGATATTTATTTAAGTCTTTTTTAAATGTTTGTGTTTTTTAAGACTTTATAGTTGGTGTCCAGGTATTAATCTTCCAATCTTTCAATAACACATAATTATCAAGTGATATTTTCAAATTTCCTGCCAACTTTAAACATTTTTTAACTCAAATACACGACGGGCCGCTGGATGAACGACTGCCCCAGCGCCCAAACACCGGGCTTATCAAGTTTTCTGGGGGAAACTGTTAAATTTCTGGGTTTTTAAGTGAAATAAGGATTTGATCCCCTAACACAGTATTATCATGTTTCTTGTCATGTTTTCCTCCCACATATTTACAGAAACTCTAAATTATTTGGGATTCCCAGCTTCTACAGATATTTCTCATATCTGTAGAAGCATAATACTTCCACCTTACCCCAGGTCACCTCAGTTCCTCTTCCTGCAGGACGGTACGGTGATCATCCACACCGTGCGTCGAGGTCAGTACATGCGCTGCCTGCGGCCACCGTGCGACAGCTCCCTGCCACTGTCCATCCTCCACCTGGCCGTGTCCTGGGAGGGTCACCTGCTGGTCCACACCTGCCTGGAGGGCAAAGCCACACTCAAAGTAAATCCATGTTTATACATGTATAAAGCAGAGCTTTAGAGCTGCATGAATCTGAGCGACGATGTGTTTTTGCTGCTTTTCACCAGGATAAAAACACGCTACATCTTTACTCCGTGAACGGGAAGCACCTCTGCAGCGAGCGGCTGAAGGAGCAGGTGACAGACATGTGTGTTTCAGGGGAGTATGTGATCATCGGGAGTGAGCAGGGATACCTGTCCATCCGGGATCTCTACAGGTAAGCAACACAGCTGCTTGATTCTGGTCAGACCTCTGTCTCTGACTACTATTTCAAATATTAAAACACAAACTTTATTTTGTTTGAATTTAAGTGGCAAATTAAGTCATAAATGCAAAGGGAGAATGATGCATGATGATTTATTGTGGCATTTCCAGGTTTGTAATAGTTCTGGGTTTTTCATTATGGTTTTAGTTTTATTTGTTGTGACTATTTGTCTAATTTAATTAGTTTTTATTAGTATTAATTAAATATTCTTTAGTTTCAGTTTAGTTTTTATTAGTTATACTAAAGGCTGGACAATAAATTAATAACTATTTATTGCCATAGATATCAGTAGCAATAGATATACAGCTAGTAGAATATTCAATATATAGAATATTCACTGAACCTCAAAGCATTCTGGGAGATGTAGGCAGAGGAAAGGCTTTAGCTGCTCAATCTCTCACGGTTAGCTTAGCAAGGTTGGTGGCTTCAACTCACTCGCTCTTTGGTTACCTAGCAACTCACTCATTCTGTGGTTACCTAGCAACTCACTCATTCTGTGGTTACCTAGCAACTCACTCATTCTGTGGTTACCTAGCAACACCCTGTTGATTAATTGGCGCAGCAGCAGTTTAAGGTTTTGCCTCATAACTACTTAGAAATAAAGAAACAGCAGCATGGAGTCAATAGTATATTTTAGATATTTAAAACAAAAGCCTAGTCAATAATTACTGATATTGACTGATATGAAATGCTTGTATTGGGCTTATATAGTAGTCGTTTTAGTTTTTCATACTTAAGTAAATTTTTAGGTGTAGATTATATCTCTAATTTCATCAAGTTTTAATTAGTTTTATAAACGCACAATATTGTTCTGGTTAGTTATAGTTTTCCTCATTAATTAACATTGTTATTTACGTAAATTATTGAAAATGTTTTCTCAGTTTCAGTCATTTGGTTGGTTTTAAACTTGGCCGTTTCTCCCTCGCAGCCTGTCTCTCTGCTCGGAGCCCATGGCCATGCGGCTTCCCGTCCGCAGCGTCTCCGTCACCAAGGAGCAGAGTCACGTCCTGGTGGGCCTGGACGACGGCAAGCTGATCATCGTAGGCGTGGGCAAGCCGGCGGAGGTAAAGAACTCTCTGAGGAACTACATCGCTCAGAGCCTGGAGGGCTCGCCGCTCATGGCCTCCCCGCTGCTGGCGCCGCTCCGAGCTCGCTCACCAACGCGGCTGCTCCACCAGCGGGACCAGCTGGTGTTCAGCCCCACGTCCAGCCCACAGAGACCCTAGCATGTTGCAGCTCTTTTTTAAATTTTATTTCCCACTGCCGCCCCATGTTATCGCTGTAGATAAAACACACACACACACACACACTCTCGCTCACTCCTCTACACACTCGCCTCTCCTCCTCAGGGACGGTTGTCACCCACTGTTGCGAAATTACTGCAAACACACTGACGTCTGAGCCACACGGATCAAATCAAAACAACTTTTTTCGGTCTTATCTCATTTAGTTTTTCTAGTGTTTGACTCCGGTTGGACATTAACAGATATGCTGTGAAACTCCTGCAAACTAAAGCCATAAGACGAAGAAAACTAATAAGGATAATCTTGTGCCAAAATCGCATAAATGTCAATCATTGCACCTTCTCACTTTCCTTCATTTTTGTTTGACCAGATTGACTCACTGAAGTGAATCAAGCCTTGATTGTTTTTTTTTAATTACCTCACAAGTCAATCAAGCTCCTATCATGAATCACATCCCTCCTTTTTTCCCTTTCCCTCCTTCTTTTATTTCTTTTGACTCCACACCTTTCTCCCCCACCTCCTCCCTCCTTCCTCCTTCCTCCTCTTCCTCCACTCTTCCCAGATGCGATCGAGCCAGATCACACGAAAGCTGTGGGGCTCCAGCAAGAGGCTGACTCAGATCTCGACGGAGACGGAGTACAACCCGCAGCAGGAGAGCAACTGATCCCAGACCAGCCACACACTCCCGCCTCCCCTTGAGACCCGGTTCTTATTCGTTTTCATAAATCCCCTTAAGTTCCTCCATTACTCCCCCTCCCAAGTTAAACAGGTGCTTGATTCATAAAAACCTGCATCTCCATCTTTTTTTTGTTTTTGTTTTCCTGCTTTGAATCGACCATCGAGGCGCTGGCGCTGTGGTACACTACTTATTCCCTCTTCATTCCTCATTACTTTAAACAATCAAGCTAGTGTGTGTGTATGTGTGTGTGCATGAGAAGCATTGTTTTAAAATCTAGTTTCAAGTGACCTTTATTTTTGAGTCAGACAGGTGGGTCGATTTATGTCGGCTGAGATTTGCCGCCACGCAGCCTTATGCAGTAAGACTAAACTCTATGCCTTCTTCTATGCTTTTGTATACAGAAACATTTGTTGGCACGCCTGTAAAGATGTATGGAAAAAAATAATCATTTATTGCAGGAGCAAATTCCCACACAGTTGATTTGACCAGATGTTCAACTTTTTCTGGTATTTCAAAAATCCATTTTTGTCTCTTTGGTAAAGAAGTCATACGTCCTACATTGCACATGATGTTCTTTTTCACATTTTAGTCTATATTTCACAGAAAACACACCCAAAAGTTGCTCATCCAACTAAAGTTCCAGTAGAGTTTAGCAAAATCCACATTTATAGCATCTAATAGTTCTTTTTTTTTTTTTTTTTTACCTCTTTCACCATCCTGCGTTTGCAGTTGCTAATTTTGGGGAAGATCTGGGAAACTTTGCGTAAAAGTAAACATTTTTCTGTTCTATTTATTTTAAATGGAGTGCTGAGGCTGAAGATTTTGTCAGAGTAAGGATGAATAAATCACCAGATCAGCACCGAATAAAAAAAAAAAAAATCAAATTTAATGTTGGGTTTTACTCTGAAAATCTGCGACAGCAATAAAAGATGCAAGTTTTTCTACACATCTTAACGAGGGATGCCAGTAAATGTGGTCAGCACTGTAAAAACATACAACTCTATCGAGGCATACTTTGATTAACACTGAGACGAATCAGCGTTGACGTTTCGTTTTGCCACTAAACACTACATTATCCATCTGACGACTTACCAGGAGAAAAAACCGGCTGAATGTTTTTGAGTTACTTGAATTTGCGTTTATTTATGAGTAGCATTCTTTTATGTCTGATTTTTTTATTCTCCTGGCATATATATATTTTTTAATTCCTCTAACTTGTTGCAGAAGAAAGAGAAGAAAGGGCTTTTTGAGATGTCAGTGTTAGCAGCAATACAGCTCCTTGGTCGCGTGCCTGTCGATATCTACTTCTTCCTGTCTCTGATTCCAGTCTTCCTTCTGCTCTAACCCGGACGGCGTCTCACTAATTTGCTTCCATCGCTGCACAGAGCGTCCTCTGATATTTTCATATCTGTTTCTCATCATGACTGATAATCGGTGAAGTTTTCTGTTCACAGGGCATCATGTGTGGTTTGCATGCCTTGTTAAAAGTATGAGTGAGTTATTTACTCTGCAGTATGAAGCAGCTACGGATGACATTGCTATTTTTGCACCATATTTTTGTTTTCTTTTCCTGTAATTTGTATTTACTACTTTATTTAAACGTCACAGTTCGGGGGAGTGCAGAGACCAAGCTGCGTCCTCCTGGAGATTTCTGTGAAAGGTGCTTAAATTGTTTTCTGAATACTTTTTTTTATTTTTTATTTTTTATCATTCTCGCCACTGTTTGAGCTGCTCCACGACTGCAACAAACGGAGTGCCTTCAAGCCAGTCGTGTCAACAATAGAGCTAGAAACGTCATGAAGCCATTTATCCCTGAAACTTTACGACTTTACGCAGCATTCCACGTGTCCAACCACAGCAGTCTCGACGGGAACCAGTGATATTGGACTTAAATAATAATCAGAAATACTATTTTGTGTCTTAGCTGCATCCTCTGTGAGTGTCACCTAAATGGATGTGTGTATATCTGTGATTATTTATGAATACAGTATATATATAAATATATATATAATGTACAGCATGATTTTTATTTCAGCGTCTTTTAAATGTCCTTTTTGCACTTTCTAGGTACTAAAAATTGTTTAAACTTGGCTCCCTAATCTGTACAAACTGCTTTGTATACACATGTGGGAAATGATCATTAAAGTCTTGTCTAAATTAAGAAGTTTTGTTTTCATTTTATGGAAAAACATAATCAATTTTTTTGCTACATTAAACAATAAAGCTGAAAAAGAACAAAAAGAAATACATTTTTTGTGGTATGCTTGGTTTTATTTAAGGAGAGTCAATCATGATGTGGTAAGTAGCTCAATCTGAGGAGTACAGCAGATTTGGAGAAACTCTTTCGCCATCTGACATCACTTCCTGTTTCTTTGATTTTTTTTTTTTTAGGCAGTGACTGGGTAGGAGCAGAGGGACGCCCTCTTCAGTTCACAATCCACCACGCTCCACCAGCTCTCATCTGAAAACACGAGTAAGGACATAAAAATGATAAAATATGAGTCAGATTTTTATTCTATTTATGATTCATCCAGCTTTTTTCCTGGTGAAGTTCTGAGTGCGTTTCTTACCGATCTTGAACATCTCGACACAGGCGGGTTTGTTGGCGTGAAAGTTGGGGTGTCCCGGCATCCAGTCGCTGTAGCTCCATTTTGACCCGTCGACCCACAAGGCCTGCTGGTTCTGAGGCGCCAAGCAAACATTTTACAGCCTCATTAACATTTGAAGTTAAAAGTTTGCATATTTCTTAGATAAATGTCATTCATTTGGGGTTTTTAATTGATAACGCAAACCTATCTATGATGGTGAAATAGTTTGAATTTCAGGTGAAGTTTAATTAACTGTGTCCAAATCCCATTGCATTAAAACTGATGCGCTTTACCAGTTACATTTTTATAGTGAAAGCCTTGCTGATAATGCCTAGTATAGTAGAATAATTAGTTTTTAACATTACTTTTGCCTTGGTAGTCTTTGATATCAGTAAAACAAGTCATTGTGGCGAAACACCCAATACTCTCCAGATTACAGTTGTTGCCTGCTGATGTAGAAATGTAAAAAGCTTAAGTTTGGAGCAGGAAGTATAACTCCAATCTTTCACTAATGCTTTTACATTTTGGCCTTTCCCAGCGAGAGGAAAGTGTGCAACTCTTCCAAGTAAAGGTTCAAGGGTCAATGTTCCACCAAGGTAAGAATAACATGATATGTTCTGTTGATAAGATATCTGATGACACTCTCCTTGGCCTCCTTTTGCTGCCACAGCCAGCTTGCATCATCAGTCCTTGAATAAAAGGGTTTTGTAGATGGATTCCTTCAATACAGAGGAAGATGTCTGCCTCATCTTCCAGTTTGTGAAAATAACTTGCCTTGACAATGCCTCCCAACCAGGTCAACACAGGTTTGTTCTCGCCTCCTTTGGTCACCAGGGAAACCAGTCGGGAATGGAGGTCTCTGTTCGTTATAGAGACAAGCTCAGCATTGGGGGCCAGATTTCTGCAAAAGGCCTGTGGAGTGGAGGGAATGGAAATGTTTCAGATTTGAATGGAAACAAAGTTTCAAGCAACATTTAACAACTGGGTTTTATGATTCCTATGCAGAACTTAATTATGAAGTTCTGATTACTGCCAAACCAGTACAGCCAAAAAATCTCTTATATAGTGCCTGGCTAACAACATGAAGTAGCTAAATTATTTAAAATTATGTCTTGAGCTAAAGAGATTGAAGAACAAATGAGAAACAGAGATGTCTGAAAAGGGTTACAAGCCATTTCGAAGGCTGAAACCACAGAGCCATTATCCAAAGATGGCAAAAAAATTGGAACAGCGAGTTTGGTAGGAGCTGCCAGTCTACCAAAATTACTCCAATTAACAATTCTTCCAGAGAGGTCACAAAGGAACCCAAAACAACATGGACAAAAATGGCATCCAGTGGAGAATTCAATGGCCCAAATTCCTGTGGACCAAGAAGAATACCAAAAAAGTCATTATGATGATTCCCAAAGCAAAACAAAGCCAGCAAGCTCCCATCTGAATGCCTCACAAACCATAATGAAGGATTTCTGATGGAGCTACTGTGGAATGGTCTTAGATTGGCCATTTATATCTCTCCAAAGTGATGTAAGACATCACCACTTATGGATGTCATGGTTTAAGACATAATTAGTTTGTCAAATTTTACCATGTTGGTTTGGATGTGTTTTTTTTTAACCTTAATAAATTAAATAGTCATTTGATTCTACTTTCAGGTCATCTCTCATTTTAAAATGTGTTTGATCTGAAACATTTAAGAATGGTTAAGCAAACCAAAAGAGACAGAAGAAATATGTAAGGTAGCAAATACTGTTTCACAGTCCTGTAAGCAGACTTACTTGGGCATCTTTGTAGGACAGCAAGTTGGGGTTGAACTCATAGCATTTTCCATTGATGATCTCCCCGTTACAAGCCATTTTATGGGTCTGGACCCTAGTTGCCTGTTTGAAAGCAACTGGACGCTGCATATTTTGCTGAGCTTCCTTTCTGAGCTCAATTAGATTGGACATTTCTGGTTCGGTTCCTTGTCTGAAGGCAACTGGGATGGACATCTTTGGCTCGGTTCCCTGTCTGAAGGCAACTGGGATGGACATCTTTGGCTCGGTTCCCTGTCTGAAGGCAACTGGGATGGACATCTTTGGCTCGGTTCCCTGTCTGAAGGCAACTGGGAGGGACATCTTTGGCTCGGTTCCCTGTCTAAAACCTACGGGGATGGACATCTTTGGCTCGGTTCCCTGTCTAAAACCAATGGGGATGGACATTCTGGACTTAATTTCTTGTCTAAGAGTTTCAGGAACATCAACAATTGAGCGTTTCTCCACTCGAACCCAGCCTGCTCCTCTTCTCTGGGCTGGAACATCGACAGGGACTGAAAAAAGAAGGCTTTGCTGATGTAAAGGGTTTTTTAAGCAATGCTGAAAACATCGAAGACTAGTAATGTTTTACTAATCTTCAAAGGGGTCTGTTACAGCTGCATTATGAATAGGCTGGTTCATCACAAATATACATTTTTGGTAGGATTTGATGTATCTGTACCCACCAACTCTCCTTTCCATCTCACTGATGTGTTCCTTCACAAGTCCAGTGTTCAGGTCAACAAGGAACTTCCTGGACGGCTCTGTTCCTTGTCTGAATCCATCAGGAACACGTTCACGGATGCCAGCGTGTTCGACGCTCCGTCTAAAGCCATCTGGGAGACGGTCAGACGAAAACGTTCGCTGTCCAGGAGCTGCGATTGGACGAGCTTGGAGACCTATAGTGGGTTATAGATGGGAACATTTGGATAAATGCCTGATTATTTTAACAAAACTCTTAATAATTTGAGATTAAATTAAGACTTTTTCCAGCTGTTACATCAGTAACCTGCAACTGTGCCTTCCTGATATGAATGCGTCATTTATGTAATCTATAATAAATCAATAATGGTCAAAGTTCAACCATTGCTTTGCCACAGTCATGGCAATAAGTCACAATACTGAGGTAAATTAATTGAAAAATACAGATATCTTGAATTATTTAAAAAGATTACCAATTTGACCCACTATGTTGAATAAATGTACAACAAACTGATGTTAAATTCAAAAAATAAAAATAGCTACAGTGAGAAATGAAGCTCTTACCTGACAGGGTCAGGAACAGCAACACAAACTTTAACATCCTGTAAAAGAAACAGCAACTTTTAAGGTTATTTTTGTGCCTGACAAATTTTATCACCATTAATCAGCTTATTGATCACCGTTTGCTCTCTGTAAAGATCCTGCACTTACCTGAGGCTGTAGTGATGAACTGTGAGCACCCAGCGAAAGAAAAGGTTGGCTTTTATAATGTCCTAGTCATTGTCATAAATTCCTTTATTATTACAGTACATAGGATTACTGATTAATACCAGTGTGATTGAAGCTTACTGATATTTGTTGGACTTTCAGCCTCATAACCTGATAAAGGTGATTGTACAGTAAACGGAGCCAAGATAAACGCTGTCAGTTTCTGATCTGTGAGTTAAATGGTTTTAAAGTCAAGTTTTCCCCTTACAGCAGGCGGTCATGCTGGAAATATATATTTTTTTGTCTTTGACAGATGGGAAAGTTGAATGGCACACCGGTTCATGTAAGCTCAATCAATATTTGCAAACTGGGTCGCAGCATGAAATTACAGAAAGCAGCAGCAGAGTACACTAAAGATTGTTTAGATTTAACCGATTTATCATTTGAATATAATCCAAATTAACAACTTAGTGAAAAAGTTAATTGGTAATAGAGTGTGGTTTCATGTCAGTGTAAATCCAGCTCTTCTGACGTTTGTTCGAGAACAAATGTCATCAATAACGGTTATAAACAAGTCAGAGATAAGATGAGGTTCAAAGCAGGATCAGGCTGTAAAAAAACAATGTCGTAAGACATGCTATACAAAAACAGCATTAATCAGCTAGATGCATATGGTAACTCTGGAGGAACTGCAGAAATCCAGAGCTCAGGTGTGAGAATCAATTACCTGGACAGCTACGAGGCGTTTATGACCTGAAATAAACAATAAGTTACTGCAAAACATAATGTTTCGGGGTAAACATAATGCTGAACACAGTGTTCGCAAAGTGAAATGTGATTATTGTAGCATCATAAGAGACATGTTTGACACCTCATTCCTACAACATGATAGAGAGACAGGTGGACACCTTTATGACAAAATTTAATCGATAGAGTGATTTATGACCCTAATCATTAATTGCCCCCACTGCACCTGTTAATCTGAAAAAACATAAGTGCATACATAAGCATTCCTTTCACCCCTGTTAATAACTAAAAATAAACATTCCCATCGTCTTTGGTAAACTTTTTCCCACCGCCTCTATGAATTAGCCAATAGAAACAGAGACTGGTATCAGCGATAAAGCATTTCTCTCTGGTAGGTACAATTTAAACCCAGAACAGGACATCTGTTTGTGAATGATTTAAAGTACAACACATTCACAAAAAAATAAATAAAATAAAAACAATCTTTGCTTTCATCAACCTATAAAACATTGCTCATCATTTCTCTTCGGTCCAGTCCGTTGGGGAAATTGTAAAAGTTCTTAATACAATTCAGTTGATTTATAAAACACTAATTTACAATAGGTAATCTCAAGACAATTTACAAAAAGGTCATTTCCATGCTACTTATCAAACAGTGCAGCAATTTAAATGTATTATTTAAGTCAGCAACAAATAAGTCAAATTATCCGACTCACTGTGTAGACTGAGGGCGATGAGTTCAGCCAAAAGTAAAACATTCAGGATTCCCAAAGCCACCCAGAGGCAGAGCCTCTCTTTGGAGCTGTTCAAACCTTAATGAAAACCTGAACCTTAGCAAAATCCAATTAAATACATACTAGATTTTTCTGTAATTTTATTCTTACCTGTGTGATTAGATGCAGTTTGTCCAACAGCTTCCATGTTGACGTAAATTTCCTCCATCGCTTCAGACTCTGTGCTGCTTTTAACACTGACTATAAAATCCACTGCAGTCGTGGAACTAAGTGAAAAACTGGGGAAGAGGTGAGATGTGTCTGGTGTTCAACATAAAAAGTAACATATTTTAGAGATAACAGCCAAATAAAGTAACTCATGAGTGCGGTTTCACTATTATTTTCTTAAATATCTTACACAACATAAGATTCTTGAAGGTTTCAATAGTTTCCTAAGTTCATATTTGCTGATTCGGTTCTGTATCAAAGAATATTTCTCCTTTTTCTTTGTTGTCCTTCAGCTCGGTTAATCCTACTCATAATAAACACGTTACACTTTTCTATCAGTGAAGAAAATAATTGACTTTTACAGTCATGCACAACTTTGCAGCCTGCCGTATGGTATCAGAAATTAGAAATGGTTTTAAATCACTGATATAAGGATGTTGTGATGTTCCTGCTCCTTGTGTCGAAACATAGTTCCTAAAGGGTAATAAATTGTTGGAGCAGATGACCGGTTCGCTCCTTGGATCGTATGGACCCCAGAGTTTTACAGGTCTCATTCTGTCCTGATAACTAGTCATAGCCTTTCTCCCAGTAAATACAACTATCATCTTTGTAGTTTTATTTCTACATCCTCATTTAACCCTGTTCCTTGTCTTCTTACTGTCTCACTTGAGTAGCAGAAACACTGACATTAAGGAACCACAATCCCTGAATTGCATTACTACTAAACTTCTATAACCGCTGGATCAAATAATTATGAAATTGTACGTATTTACTCATAGTTTAAAGATATATACTTTTAGGGCTGCCATCTAGTAAAAAGCTGTATGAGCTGGCTCCTAGTGTCTAAAACTCAGTCACCATGTCTTCTCATCTTCTGAGGGAGATCAACAGTTTGACAAACAGTTTGCTTTGTGAAGCACCGCCTCACTGGAGCACTTCTCCACTAATCCTCTGAAATTGAAGTTTGTTGTCTGCTAGAC